CATTGCTCATTGTGCATTTCTTTAATGGCTAATGATGTTGAGCATCTTTTCATGTGCTTATTAGCCGTTTGTGTATCTTCTGAGAAGTGTCTATTCAGATTCTTTGACAATTTTAAAATTGGTTTATTTACTTTATAATTTCTGAGTTGTAAGAGTTTTTCTTTTTTTTTTTTTATCTTGAACACTAAACTATTATCAGATACATGATTTGCAAACATTTTCTGCCATCTGTGGGTTGTCTTTTTACTTCATTGAGGCCATCATTTGTATCAAAAAAGTTTTTAATTTTGATAAAGTTCAATTTATGTGTTTTTTTTCTTTTGTCACTTGTATTTTTGGTGTTTTCTCTAAGAAACTATTGACTAAGCTAAGGTTATAAGGATTATAATGATTTACTTTTATGTTTTCTTCTAAGAGTTTTATAGCTTTAGCTCTTACTTTAGTTCTTTGATGAATCTTGAGTTAATTTTTATATATTGTGTGAGGTAGGGGGTACAGCTTCATTCTTTCACATGTGTCTGTCCAGTTGCCCCAGTATCATATGTTGAAAAGACTGTTCTTTCCCTATTAAATTTTCTTGGCACCCCTGTCAAAAATCAATTGACCATAAATAAACCAAAGCAAAGAAAACCAAAGAAACCCAAACCAAAAAAACCCTGTTGCTACTGAGTCAATTCTGACCATGGTGATCCCATGTGTTACAGAATAGAACTGTTCCATAGGGTCTTCTTGGCTGTAATCTTAACGGAAGCAGATCATGAGGCCTTTCTTCTGCAGTACTGCTGGCTGGGTTTGAACTGCCAACCTTTAGGTTAGTAGTTGAGTGCAAACCATTTATGTCATCTCAGGACCCATCAAGGAATACTGGTGGCACAGTGCCTAAGACATTTGACTGCTGACCATTAAGGTTGGTGGTTGAAACCCACCAGCTGCTCTGTGTAAGGAAAACAGGGCAATCTACTTCTGTAAAGATTTACTGCCTTGGAAACCCAGTGGGGGTCACTATGAGTCGGAATCAAGTTAATGACAGTGGGTTTGGTTTTTGGTTTAGGAATCTATTGACCAGAAATTAAAGGGTTTATTTCTGAATTCTGAATTCCATTCCATTGATCTATGTGCCCATCCTTATGACACTACACTATCTTGATTATTATAGGTTTGTAGTAAGTGGTGGAATCAGGAAGTATGAGTCCTTCAATTCTGTTCTTTGTCAAGATTGTCTTGGGTAAGAGGGCAGTGAATTTAAGTTATTGGGGAGGAACAACTCAGAAAGGGAGTGTGAGAATGGTTGTACAACTTGTACAGTGTCATTAATGTCACTGAATTGTACATGTAGAAACTGTTAAATGGATTTGTTTTGCTGTGATATTCTTAACAACAACAAATAAAATAAAATGTTCTGGCTGTTCTGGGTTGGTTACATTTCCATGTATTACTTTTATATTCAGAGGGAGAAAAGATTTTAGAAAAGATGAAAGAAACAAAAGGAAATACAGACATTGCTGAAGGAACTGTGAAGTTCATTTTGCATTTTCTGAGCAGTACTACCACAGTGTAACTTATCTGTTGGGCACAGGCATTTTCCCTTCCTAAATTTTACTATGGTAAACTTTGTCAGGGTGCCCTGGTGGTGCAATAGTTACGCACTCGGTTGCTAACCAAAGGGTTGGCAGTTTGAAACCACCCAGTGGCTCTACACAGGAGATAAGACCTGGTGATTCGCTCCTGGGGGCAGTTCTACTCTGTCATGTAGGGTTGTTATGAGTCAGAATTGACTCGATGGCACAAAGCAACAACAAATCTTAGTCATAGTAGATTTTCAGTGTTGATAAAATAACCTCACCTCTTGTGTTGAGTCACTTGACTGAGTTTCAGAATTCTTCCCACAGAAACCAAATTTTTGGTTTACTCCTAGAAAAGCAGAATCACACTCTATGTGGTGGCCCCTAAACTGTTTTGATTGAATAGCCCATTGGCAAAGCATTTTTGAGTATGCTCCCTCAAATAATGTGTTTTTATTCATTTATAAATTATATACTCTTATGAGTATGACATACATTAAAATCATACCTAAAACAGAAATTTTTAGAGGATGAGTTAAAAAAATGTTTAGAAATAGAAGTTTCCCCATGCCTCAATGACTCTTATATATCTTTTAGAGAATGTCTTCTTTGACTCTTTTCTGTTTACCCATGTGTGTTCCCAGCAACCAGCCAATCAGAGCCTGGTAAATAGCAGGAGCTAAACATCTATTAGGAGCTCTGGTGGCGTAATGCCATTTGACTGTGAACCAGAAGGCTAGTGGTTCAAACCCACCAGCCACTCTTTGGAATGAAGACTGGGCGATCTACTTCCATAGTGCTACTGCCTTGGAAACCCAAGGAGGGGTCAGTATGAGTTGACATACTTGACAGACTTTTTTTTTTTTAAAACCTCTGTTGTTCAAAGAAAAATCTCAGATAATCCTGCTATTTCAATTAAAACACACTGCCTCTCTTTGTAGGTTTTGTGTGCAGCAAGAAAAAGTTTTGCATGTGTCATCTGCTAGGGTCACTTTGTAGAGAAGCCGTGGGCTCATCTTTCCTTACCTTCTTTTTGGCCTTTGATTGCACCTCACCTGAATCATTTGTTTTTGAAATAGCTATTGTATCATCTTATATTCTTCATTTCATATCACATGGTCAGCAGAGTCCTGGGTAGAACATAAGAACGTTTGGAAAATAAAGAATCCAAAGCAAGGTCTCTGCTTACCATGGTATCAGGTAGGATGTGAACAAGGGGCAAAAGAGCTTTTAGGACTGAGAGTTAGGGGAGTGGTGGGCTTCATGGAGCTGTGTTTTAAAGGAGAAGTGGGAGTTAGCCCAGTTTAGAAGACAGTCCCAGCTGTCAAGAGCAGGAGCAAAGGCAGGAAGAGGGGGTGGATGTAGCACATTACAAACTACAGGAAAGCTTGGTGTGGGTGAACATAGGGGCAGAGTGGCTGGATCTGTGTCTTAAAAATGGGCAGATTACCCAGTAAGAAAGGCAAGCACTGGCTTACTTATTAATGTGTAGTGAACAATTTCACATGTTCTCACTGCTTCATCCCCATCGTTGATCACTTGCCACCTCCTAAAATGGATGAAGATCAATCAGGTCTTTTTATACAGTGACTCTGTGTATTCCTTCCATCTTCTTTTGATGCTTCCTGCATCATTCAGTATCTTGCCCACAGAATCTTTCAGTATTGCAACTCAAGGCTTTTTTTTTTTTTTTTTTTTTTCAGTTCTTTCAGCTTGAGAAATGCCTAGTGTGTTCTTCCCTTTTGGTCTTCTAACTCCAGGTTTTTGCACATTTCATTGTAGTAATTGTCTTTGTCTGCTCGAGCTGCTCTTTGAAATTTTCTGTTCAGCTCTTTTATCTTGTCATTTCTTCCATTTGCTTTAGCTACTCCCCACTCAAGGGCAAGTTTCAGAGTCACTTCTGACATCCATTTTCATCTTCCTTTCCTGTCTTTTTAATGACTTCTTGCTTTCTTCATGGATGATCTTCTTGATGTCATCCCATAATACTTCTGGTTTTTGGTCATTGGTGGTCAATACATAAAATCCATCCCCATTAGGGATTGTAAATTTGAAGAGGCTTTGATTCTGTAGGAAGGTGCTCTGGGTGTGGGACTGGGAGAGAGACAGATGCCAGCCATACCTAGAAGAATCTTTGATGTGGTGAAAAACGTGAAATTGTCCAGTACAGATTAGTGAGTAAGCACAAGTAAGCCCGTGCTTACCTTGCTTATTGGGTAACCCAACAGTGCAGTTAAAAGATCACTCTGGCAGCCCTGTGGGAGTTCTGGTGGCATAGTGCCTAAAGTATTTGACTGCTAACCAGAAGACTGGTGGTTCAAATCCACCAGCCACTCCTTGGAAGGATGCTTGGGCAATCTTCTTACATAGAGATCCTGCCTTGGAAATCCAAGGGAGGGTCACTATGAATCGAGACCTAGTTGATGGTAGTGAGTTTGGTTTTTGGCAGCCCTGTGGAGTATTAGAGTCTTGAGGCTGGAGGCAAGTGGAGGCTGTTGGTTGCTTGGAGAGAAGGACACAATTATAGTTAGAAAAGAAGCCTAGGTGGCACAAGTAGTTTGCCATTGGCTGCTAAAGGTTGGCAGCTCAAATCCACTCAGCAGCTGTGCAGAAGAGAGTCCTGGTTAACTGCTTCCTAAAGATTACAGCCAAGGGAACCATGGAACAGCTCTACTCTGTAACACATGGGGTTGCCATGAGTCCCTGGCTCAAAGGCAGATGAGAACAACTAGGTAGAAACCTCTGGGAGTGGAAACCTAAACTGCAAAGCACGCAAATTGCTTTAGTACTCTGACTGCATTCCCTTTTACAGTCTCAAGGCACACTAAAACAAAACCAAACCCCATACTTTTTAATTCCTGGGAATCCTCGGAGTGGGTAATTCTGCTTTAGGACTCCTTTTGAAGCCTGTGGCCTATGGAATACGCTGAGGTGCATCTCTGCACAGTTCTGTCAAGCAAGGACTTGATAGAATGCTTCTGGGCACATCCTACCTCCGCCCCAATTAAATCAAGGCACACACACACACACACACACACACAATTAAAGACTCAGGCACCAGGTTACAGAAAATAGGATATCAGGAGCCCCGAACCTACCACCAAGGGCGTGTCTAGGCGCGGCACGCAACCCAGATCACCCCTCCCTTTCTAGATCAGTCTCCTTCCCCGCCCACAGGGAATATAGGGGGCAGGGCAAGCCCGACGCCCTCTGGGTGGGCCTGGAGCCGGATCCCGGCCTGGGGCGGCTTTGCGGCGACGGTGGGCGGGGTCTTCTTGCCTGCCAGTTTCAGTGTCTAGGCCGGCTCCTCCCCGCGGCCAGCCTAGCCCTCGGGCGCGCGGCTCCGCCCCCAAGGGGACGGAGGGCGGGGCGCCAGCCAAGCGCGCGAGCTGGGCCCTAGTCAGCCTGGGAGCCCGCGGAGTCGAGCGCTGCGAGCGGAGCGCCGGGCGGCGGCGGCGCGCACTATGGCTCCGGCTGGGGACCGGGACGGCTACTGGGGCTCCACGACCTCCACGCTGGATTGGTGTGAGGAGAATTACACCGTGACCTGGTATATCGCCGAGTTCTGTGAGTGCGGGTACGGGCACCGGGGCACTGGCCTGAGGCAGGGAGGGAAGGAGAGAGGGCGTCTGGCCTGAGGGGGAGACGCCGTGTGAGGAAGGGAAAGGGCGCGGGAGCCGCGCCGAGCAGGGAGAGGGCGAACCTGGCGGGCATGGGAGGCACCTGGCCTGGCCAAGGAAGGTGGAGTGGGGGAGCGCTGGGCCAGGGGAAGGAATAGGGGATGCTACAGATGAGAGGGGCGCACAGGAGAATACTGTGTGTATGACGAAGAGTGCTGGAGTCTGGAAGGACTGAAGGGGGCCCTTAAGATTGAGGGCCGGAAGAGAAGTGCCGAGTTCGTGCCTAATCCAAGGAAAAAGCCTGAAGAGCAGCGTCGGGGATGAGAATTTCACCTGATGGGCGGTGTGGGGCAGCCCGGGAAGAGGTGGGAAGTGTGGAGGATTCTGTCCGTTTGAATGAGGCTGCTGGACACCTGCTCCTAGTGTTGCTCCGCCACCTCAGCCATAGGGCACAGGGAAGGGAACACTTCCTAGCTTAATCTTCCCTCAAATATGTGAAAACTCGGTAAGGGTTTTCCCTTCCTCTTTCTCTGTTCTTGTTGGACCGCTTCAGTTACCTCCAGGGAACAGTTTTACCAGGCTTAGAACCCCACCCCCCAGTTCCACTCCTGACCCCACGGTATCTTGGTGTACCAGAGCTCCAATCTGCTCTTGGGCACTGCTATTCACCTATCTCCTGGTACCACGAGAGCATATAGTCTGTACACTCTTGGTCGAGCTAGGCTCCCAAGAGCACGAGAGACCAAGTCCCTGCTCTGTTCTGCCCCCTGTCTCACTGTCTAGGGGCCAGGGGTCATCTGAGCACACTGCTTCCCCTGACTGAACCTTCTGAGGACTTGGGGCAGAATCCTTCTCCAGCTGCTGCCCCTGACAGGCTCTACTGCCCAAGTCAGTTTTTTGCTCTCTCTATATGTGTTTTACTAGGCTGGGGAGCACAGGAGAATTCTGTCACTTATTTTAACATTATTTACTTTGGTCAAGTATTAAGAACACAAGATGTGATCCTCTTTTCAGGTACTTTCTTCTGGTAAGGTACAGAGACGACTGTTCTTTGGCTAGCTATTATTGCTTGTTTTTAATTGGATCCCTTTCTGAGGCCAAATCTGTTTTTAGCTAACCTTCCCATCATTGCATGTGTGTTTGTTTGGGTTTGTAGGAAAGAGGCAAGGGTTTCATGCCGCCTGATCCTACTTTATGGAGTCCTGGTAGTGCAATGGGTAAGCACTCGGCTTCTAATCTCAAGATTGGCAGTTCCAATCCACCAGCTACTCCATGGTAGAAATATGGGCAGACTACTTCCATAAAGATTACAGCTTTGGAAACCCTATGGGTAGTTCTACTGTGCTCTATAGGGTCCCCATGAGTCAGAATTGACTCAGTGGCAGTGGGTTTGGTTAATCCTACTTTGTTCTATTCCCAGTAATTGACCATTCACCCAGCCACTGTCGTTGAGTCTATTCCAACTCATAGCAACCCCCTTGGATTCCAAGGCAGTAAATCTTTACTGAAGTAGATTGCCCCATCTTCATTCTGTGGAGCAGCTGGTGGGTTTGAACCACAACCTTGTGGTTAGCAGATAAATGCCTTAGACACTGTACTACCAGAGCACTTTAGTAATTGATTAGGATAAGTTAAAAAAAGAAAACAGAACTCTTTTTGCATTTTACAGTACTTTAGTACCATTCCCTTTAAACCATGATTTAGGCTTAAAGTAATTTTTCCTGAACTAGTTTAAATGAATAATTTTTACATAATAATGAAAGAATATGGGCAAAGGGATCATTTGCAATGTAATTACTTGGCAACCCAAACGCTGGCAAAGGAAACACTTTTTTACCAACATGTTAAATCGAGTTGGCAAGCTTGCATCTGGTCCAGAGTACCGTACTATGACCATGAGGAAAGAGACTTTAAGTCATGCTCTAAAGTAGAATATGTAACATGGAAAAGTGAAACTCAGAGGTCTTCAGATATTGGGTAGGCTGTCAAGTAGAACAATTAAACTTTCTGTATTTCTCTAGAATGCAGAATTAGGTCTTATGGGTGAAATGAACTGGAAGGAGGGAGATTTTGCTTCAACATAAGGGAAAACTTTCAAACTAATAATTCAAGTTGAAACTGGGCTAGAGTGGGAGGTAGAGGACTTGTCTCTGAAAGTGTTAATGCAGACACTGCTCAACTAATTTATATGAATATTTTAGGGGAAATTGGTTAGTAGAGAAAAGAGGTGGTTTGCCTTAGTTGGCCTTTAGGTCCCTTGCAGCCTGGTAATAATGCATGTAATAATCATTCTTAGTTTAGAACTAAGGTTTTAGATTAGAATCGAGAGAAAGCTGGCAGTTAATCATGTGGGCAGTGAGAGAGCAAGATACTACTGTTCAGCAGATAGCTGAGAAATGGGAAATGTCTTTAGTTCTCAATGTCCCAGAAGAGGAAACTGAGCAGACAGATTGCAGGGAGGGGTTTGACAAAGGAATCAGAGGGTCGGCAAGAAGAGGATGAGTGAATGTTGGCATCCTTTTGTGCATGTATCATGGGAAAAATGAGAAATTGAGGTCAGGTCTCACCACTGTAAGTGGTAAGTGATTATCATATCTTTGAGTAAGAGAATTTGATCTTTGAAAACTATGCTGATTAATAATTATGAGTTAAAATATCATTATGTGTTTAAAATAAATGCAGTTTTATCAGCATACTTACATTAATGATAGTGATATTAAGGATGATGACGATGATAATAATAATGGTAATTATAACTGTTTAAGTGCTGTGTTCCATACTTCGCTAAGCACTTCATATGTCTTATCTCTTTTGATCTTTATAATTGTCCCTCAAAGAAGGTACTATTAGCATCCCTGTTTCACAGGTTAGGAAGTTGAAACTCTGAAAAGTAACTTATCTAAGATTGCATATTTAATGAATGGTTCAGAGGTAGTATTCAATTTGAGGTTTGACTCTAAAGCTACTACACTGTATTTCCTCTCCATCATTTATTTCCATCATATGTTAATTGCTTTGCCCTTGCATGAAAGGAATGAGGACATGAAATACTGTGTTATCACAAAGGACAGATTAGATAACTATTTTAGCATTAGGGTATATTATTTTAGGTTATAAAGATGAGTTTGGGGAATTACACGTTCAGATATGGCAATGGTTTTTAGTCACTTTCAGTACCTACCTGAAAAAAACAAATCTTCTTAGTCTCTCCCAGTCTCAGTTCAAATTCTTATTTGTTTGAGCAGACTGTAAGGACCAGAGGGAAAGAGTAGAAGGTCTGTCTTGTAGTTGTGAAATAATAAATGTTTTGATGTGCCAGAAGTTACAGGTATAAGTAGTACTCACTTCGCATGGGAATTTACAAATGATTGTGCAAGTTGAAACCAGGCAAAGCCGTCTTAATAATGAATGGGAAAAGTTACATTTGTTCTGTGACCTTTACAATTTTCTGTTATTCATGGAAAACTTTTTTGCTGTTAGTTATAAAATGCATAGGGAAATGAAAAAAATAGTAAAATTTATACAAATTTTTATTGTTGTTAGTTGCTAGTGAATTCTAGTTCATGGTGACCCCATGTGTTACAGAGTAGAGCTGCTCCTTAGGATTTTCTTGGTTGTAATCTTAATACAAGCAAATCATCAGGCCTGTCTTCCATGGTTTCTGCTGGTTGGATTTGAACTGCCAACCTTTAGGTTAGTTATTGTTGTTGTTGTTGTTATGTGCAGTTGAGTTGGACCTGACTCGTAGCGATCCCTCCTTGGGTTTCCGAGGCAGTATCACTGCGGAAGCAGTTTGGCCAACCTTCCTCCTGAGGAGTAGTTGGTTTGAACCGCCAGCCTTCTGGTTAGCAGTCAAATGCATTAGGCATTACACCATTACACCACCAGAGCTCTTTTAGGTTAGCAGTTGAGTGCAAACCATTTACCAAAAAAAAAAAAACCAAAAAAACAAACAAACCTCACTGCCATTGAGTCGGATCCAACTCATGGAGACCCCTCCTTGGTTTCCGAGGCAGTATTACTACAGAAGTAGATTGCCCAGCCTTCCTTCCGAGGAGTGGCTGGTGGGTTTGAACCACCAGCCTTCTGGTTAGCAGTTAAATGCCTTAGGCACTATGCCACCAGAGCTCTTGCAAACCATTTAGTACACTGTAATTTAAAATAAAATGAGTTGCTGTGAGTTGGAATTGACTCAGCTGTGCCAAACAAAAACCACAGCAATACCAATTTAAAATATTAGAAACACTGAGAATTGAATGTTCATCTCTTTGTAAAAGACCTTATCAAGAGTAGTTAGAACAGTGATGGCCTTCTTCTTATATGATATAATGTGAGCATTTTTTCTATGCTTTGGCCAACTGTCATACTCCTTCCTGCGTTTGTATCAGCTTCCAACATTTTATCCTTTGTGCTTTCAATATTGTGAAATATCTGAGAGTTCTTTTAATACTAAGTTTTTTGTCAGTGTCACTTCTTGTGTCACATTGTTATCCTTTTTGCTACAACTGCTTTCTCCATTGCCTCCACTAAATTCCTCTGGTATATCTAGAGTTTCTCAAATGGCAGCAATGGCAGCATTCCCTGGGTCAGCTGTTTCTTATATAATTCCATTTATGTTTGATTGGAATTTCACTTCTGTTATCACTTTCCATTTTTGCTGCACTTTCATTATTATTGGCTAATTTCCTCTTCTGATGATCCATTTTTTTTTTTTTTATTAGGATTTGGGTGAAGATTTACA